AAAATAAATAGTTATAAGCATTTTTGTATGATTAATTTTTTAGTTACTTTTTTGTACAATAGATTTGCAAAAAGAGTTTTTTTTTATTCATATCTTATCCTATATACATATATTATACTTTTTACTATAGAATGCACTTGTTAATTTTGTTAAATCATACAATATTCATATTATTTTTTACAAAATTACTGCTTATTAGAACAATTAGTACAACAACCTTGCAGATTAACTTGTATACAACCATTACAATTTATCATATCTTATCTTTATGTTCTATAATATTTACAATCCTGCATATATTTTAAACTTTGAAAACTTTTCTTTAGAATTACTTATTCATCACAATATCTGTACAATATGTCATGCATATATTTATGTATTATAAATTACACAAAACTATTTTCAAAAATAGAACAAAATCCTTAACTAAGTTAATTGGCAAGCTATCTGACTATATATTAACAATAATCAAAAAATCTTGTATAGCTTTCACTTTTCTATTCTCAAATTCTTTAGAATCAAAATTCTACTAGATGATTTTTCTACTTTACACATTTTATATAAATGATATCACTTATACTCACATATTTGTTATTAATATCATCAAATTAGTTTACATCTTTACTAGATAATCTGTTCATCTAATCAATTGTTATATAGTCTTATAGACATTTTATTACAACATACCTTAAATACTAAAATACTTGATACTACTTTAAATACTATAATTAATTTACATAATCAAATCAAGCTGTTAAATAGTATAACTATTCACAGTATATCAGATTTACTCTCAATCTTCTTAACTCTAACAGATCTAATACCAAATGAAATTATTAAATAATTGCAAGTCTGTCATTCAAAAAAGTAGCTACAACACTTGTTATCAAGTTCTTATTTCATTTTAATCAACAAATCTATTATAAAATCTGAATTTCATACTGTATTTCAAGATTTATAGCTTAAACTTCTAAATATAATATACTTTCAAATGCTGTCTTACTTTTATCATATTTTCTTTTATTTAATTCTATTAGTTCAAAAATAAACTCCTGGTATATTTAATAAATTAAATATCAAACTAATTCTCTATATATAATTACTAATACTCAAATCTAGATAGGTCTTGGCCACTTTAGTTGGTTTAGATTACAGATAAATTAGTTTGAGCTTTTATTCTTTTTATAATATTTTAAAAACAGAATTGTATTTTATGTAAAATCCCAATTAAATATTTAATAAAAATAAAGGCATAGCCTTATCATTAATATTAAAAAAAATAAAATAAAATAAAAGATCAAAATAAAAGCAAATATACATTATAAAAAAATAAGTAAATTAAAATTTTAATAAAATATATAAATAAAAACTTATTTATAGTTAAAACATTAGCACAATATTATTTTAATTTTTACAATAACTTATATTATATCTTTTGTAAAAAAAAAAAAAAGATTAAAATTATCTAATAATATGCAGATTTCATAAAAAAATAAAAAAAATATAAAGAATACCTTAGTTGACTTAGTATAAACAAAGTTGTCAAATAAAATTAAATTAAAAATAGACAAAATCTCAACTTAAAAAAATACTTTAAAACATATAAACTGAAGAAAAATACAAAACAAGATATAAAATAATCAATAATTTGGTATAAAAAGATAGTAAAACTGTGCAAAACATAATTTAATTATTTAAAAAAATAAAAAAATTTATTACTATAACAATTAGCATAATATAAAACTGTTTTTATAAAGATAAATAAAAAAAAATAATATGAAGTTGTTATCTTATAAAAAGAATTAATATAAAAACAAAAAAAAAATAAGTAATAAAACAAACTAATATAAGAGAAAACAAAACTAATTTAAAAAAAAAATTTAGTAAAATAGAAAAGAACAAAACTATAATAGAAGCAAAGAAAAAAAAAAGTAAAAAAAAAATTTCAAAAAATATGATTTGATTTAATAACAAACTTCGTATATAATAAAATAAGATCATTTATATATAACCTTCTTGACTAGTTTAATATAACCTCAAATCTAAGTATATTCTTAACTAATGTAGCAAACCACACCTAAGCACTTATAAGAGCAGCTAAAGGATTTCAATCCAGAAAATTTAAGTCAAAATGTACATAACTTATATACAAGAATCTTAATAAATATTTATAACAAGGCTGCCAAAAAAAAAAAAATTATAATTATTATTACAATAACAACTTACTTGACCCTGTTTGAAATATTTTTCATTAAGTAAATTTATTTATTAATACTTTATGACTTATTGGTCTTGACACTTGATAATTTATTTATTAATACTTTATGACTTATTGATTTTGACACTTGATAATGCTCTTTAATAATAACACTTTATCTAGTTATGATTCTTCTTTAAAATGCAAAAAAATTACAAAAACAAATCAATGTAGTTAGAAAAGTAAAGAAATGTACTTAAAGTGTTGATTATTATGCCTCTATAATTTGTACTCAATACACTTTGAGGATTAAAATTTGATTTATATCCGTGTACTATACATATTATATCATGAATAATGTGTTTTCATGCATTGAAGAATTCTCAGTTGGTGTAAAACATTGAATATTATCAAAGTTGAATGAAAAATATATGCTGGGTACATTTCAAGTCTTTATAAATATCTGAATATATTGATAAGCATTTTAGGTACTGAATACTGGAATATAGCATATAAAGTAAATTAATGGGCCCCATTCTGATTTTTGTTGGCGCTAATACATATTTTACATAGTAGATATTTGTTTTGTGAAAGACCACGGCAAATTTTCCAGACATGATTTATCATGTGATCATGAACCAATAAAACAAGTTGAGATAAAGAAACTTCGTTATAAAAATATTATTATTAATTTTATATATAAACATATCGGATTCATATAAATACAATTTATATTATGAAGCCAAACCATGTCTAAAATTTTTGAATGTTAAACTTTTGGATTATAGTAATATTATTTAATAGCTATATAATAATGCAGATCAATCGACATTTCATTTGACCGATATTGGTACAAATTTAATATCTACAGAATATATATTATATAAAAAATCAAAATTACAAACTTGCAAACCGGCAATAATTGAAATATTTTTTAAACAAAACAAAAAAATCATAAAATTAGAAATCTGGTTTAGCCTTTTTTTTCTTTACAAAAATTACATCACGGCGGCTGATTTTGATTATAAATCCAAATAATAGAACCGATTATTTATAACTCTCGTCAAAAGTTGTAAATCATTTGGATAGAGACTGAGTTTGGCCAAACGATTAACCAATTTGACCGGAGATATAAATAATTAGTTTTACTAATTTAGATTAAACCAAAAATCAAAATATGTCCAGATTTACAATATGTTATCATATGACCGCCTTTATCAAATAAATTATGTCGCACATTTTTAATCGATGGGCGTCTCATATTATACGTATTAGATGTATATTAAATTTACATTTCGGGTAACTATGTAACTATCTATTGTGTGATCGTCAAGATGGCACGTGGGTTTAGTATCCGGAGTTTAATGGCCGTCGAAAGAAAATTGGTTAGGGTAACAAAAAGTACCGGGGACGTACATACGAAGGCTTACCAATAACGATAAAAACCAATTGTTCGTTTGGGTAACATGGGATATTCTGCAATATATTAAAATACTTAAATTTGAATTTAAGCTTATGATGTAATAAGAATGACCGGGGTTTTTTTAGATAACTTTAATGGTTCCGAATTTGAATTGATAAAATAACATATCTGCATATTTAATATACGTACTTATCGTTATATCCGGATATATTATTAAGTCTTGAAATTGTTATATCCGGCTCAGACATCGAAATCAAATTTGCAGACATTAATTTACGACCCTAATACGGGGTCCATTCAATTAAAATAAAAGGTTTCATAATACCGATACTATTTAGCACTCTAATTAAATAATTTTTTGCCGAATTTGATCGAATTTATCACAAATAAATCCCCAGCCTTTGAAAACCAAATTTGGTTAAGGATAATCAAGACATATTATATATGTCAGTACAAAAATATTAAGTACACAAAGTAATTTCGAGGATCATTCTGATCTTACAGAAGTGTCAGCAGGTATGTCATGTACGGGATAATTAACTAAATAAATGTTCAAAAAAAAATCTTATGAACAGAAATTGATTCATAGGTTAGGAATCTGCAAGGACCCAGGCTATTCATGAACAAGTTAGACTTCGCTTATGCACGAAATTTACTTTGAAAGAGCTTAGTTGACTGAAGTCGAAACTTACAGTTCTTTTTTAGTTTAAATAATGGACCAATCTACGAGGGTCTTTGTGGTTAAAATTCGAATTATTCCTATTGGCCAGACTAAGCCGGTTTCTGGGGTCAAATCATTTGAGCCACGTTCATCGACATGTAATGTAAGTACATACATAAGTTTAAAGCGGGATATTAAAAAACATTCTTGATGCTCACACAAAGTTCCGCAAATGCGCGCCAATATAATATCTGAACAGTAAATAACGGTCTGATTATTTAAGTAATAATAAACATTTGCAATGTCTTAAATAATTGTAAAAACAGATTAACTCTAAAATAGTCATGCCATTATTTAGATAAGAGTAAAATAAGCTAAACAATACTTCTATTTAAATAATCTTCATTATTATAATTTTTTTGTAAATTTAAAAACAATTGTATTATTTATGTTTCCTGAATCTGTTATGCATATTTTTCGGAGTTTTGTAAAAGCCACTAAAATTTAAAAATAATGTACGTAGCTAACCAATTTGATTTCATAATGTCATAGGGTCACGTCATGGATGACATGCCCTGGTATCGTGTAACCATGAAATTTATTGTTAATAAAAAAAAAACCATAAATAGGACGCCTACCGCGGTCGTGTTTTCTGTCCTTCAAGTCTTAGCCATTCTTCAAGTCTTAGCCATTCTTCAAGTCTAAGCCATTAAATCGAAATGTTTAGTACACAGGACGAAAAACCGATAAATAGTATAACTACTATGCCATTATTAGATACTACGTCTTCTAAGCCTAAGCAGGACCAACAATTTATAAATATTGCACCTAAATTCCCTCCAATAGTTGATACGATCGAACTTATCTCCAAAAAGTCACCCGATGGCAGAATTCCGTCTCGTGCACCAAATGCATTTATCATCTATAGAAAGGTTTATGTAGAAACGGCTCGTGAGAACGGACATTATTTGCCGATGACTATTGTATCCGCTATGGCATCACAAAGTTGGGAATCTGCAGACGAAAGTGTTAAGGCCGAATACCGACGGATTGCCAGAGAAGCATTAAGGGTCCGTAATGAAATGTATCCTAAATCTGGGAGAAGAAAGAGAAAGGACCGGTGGAATATAGTCAGTTTTGATCCAGACCCGCCAACACCACCTCCAAATAAAAATGACAGGAGACGCAAAAATGTTACGAGTAATTCCAAAAAAATTAAAGGCGTAAAAAACAATAAAAATAATGAATTTAATAACAATACTAGTCCCATTAATTTTGACACATCATCATTTAACGCAAATTCCACACCCGATCTATCTTTTGAAACGTTTTCTAACACAATACCTATGTATACAAACAATCCTTCGAATCCCGATTTATCTGCATCATTATTCGAGAAGTATTTAGCCAAAAGAGACTTTAATGCCAATAATGCATTTAATGACAAAAACGACTTTAATGTTAATAATGCATTTAATGATCAAACATCCTCAAATTTGCCAATTGTAAATACACCCATTACATCAAATATTTTTGCATCTGTACCCTCTGCTTTTCAAGAAATAAACTTTCAATATGATTTAAATACGGAATTTACACAAGGGCAAACACTTTTAAATGAATCGGATTTACAATTTTTAAATAATTCTTTATATAATGAAAATGGCATTAATTCTTCGTTTGCAATAAATCAAACAATCGCAAACACACCGTTTATTCAGTCCAACAGTTATGATATGGCACAACCTTTACAATTCCATAATATTAACGAAATGGGTTCAAATATTATTAATGATAATGCAAATTACGAAATTCTCGATCTATATTGTAACGATACAATGTCTTACAGTTACGCGTGAAATATAACAAATCGTAACACATACGGCAATTTTGGCTATTGGGGGTTAAACAAAATATGTAACAATTAAAATATTATTATGCAATTATCTGGGCAGAGTCATATTAACTATGTATTAAGATTATTATTATTATTATTATTATTATTTGTACATAGAATTTTCTTTTTCTCGTGTTCTTTTTTTAAGATTTTTAAGGTTTATTTAAGATTTAAAAAGTTTTTGTGAAAAGATAGATAATCAGTTTGTAAAAACAGCTCTCAGAAAATTAATAAAACGATCTTGAACTATATTGAATATGTTATTAACAATTATTAGTAATTATTATACATTATTATATTATACATTATATTATATATTATATTATATATTATATTATATATCATATTATATTATTATATAATTATAATTATCTAATTTATAATTATAATTATATAATTATATACTGCAGTATATAATAATGTCACTTCATACTTATTACAATTAATATCGAAATCATGTGATCTAAATTATCAAAATTGATAAGCTTATGTAACAATGTTGAATGCTGCTAGTCTTTACTGTATGCATAGTTCTTTTTTTTTGTAACTGCAGATTAAATTACACATAATGAACGTGAGTTGTCTGTGCATATATTCACCTGATTCATACAAATAATCTTATGATTTTTACAAACCAATCGTTTGGATTAACATACAAGAGGAACGAGTTCATTATACTTTTTCTGAAACAAATTTACAACCAAATGATCAAAATATGTGCATATAAAATTTTTGATTACGTATTTGTATTACTTTTATTTAACTTCCGATATATTACGATACTATTACTAATAAACCAATTTTATTATGGATACCAAAAAAAATTCCGTATTCTACACGGCATGTTCTAACTCATTTAGAGGGATTTACTAATTCTGCTTCAACTAAAGATGTTACCAGTCTGATCTGGTCCAGGTTCGTTCTATTTTGATCCACCCTTGGTCTGATCTTTAATGATTTATATTTTAGACATTTCTAGACCGGTTCGGTTTTAGACTAGTTTTAGACTAGTCTTAAGACTAACTGTGGTCCATCAGTTTAGACTAGACTACCTAACGTCTCTAGCATTAACTTGTTTGCGTTTCTTATTGGTCTCGTTTTTATTATTAGGTGCGTCACCTGACTTACATAGAATCTACAATTTGTTACACAAACATTACGTGGGTACGCACGGGACCTATCTATGTATGTGCATTGGTGAATCTGCATGAGTGACCTGATCTTTGATTATTTGATTAGTAAAATTTACTATAAATATAAAATGTGTGAATTTAACCTTAACTGCTTATAAATTCGTAATAAAATGCACGGTATGTTAAGACTAATGCATGAGTGATTGATCACATTATACACCATACTTATGTACATAAGCATATTATGGTAATAGGGTTCATAATTAGTTAATGTCAAAATTTAATATGGATATGAAAGAAAATATCTTTTTTTTTTTTTCTAAATATAATTACATAACCAAATTTGATCGCGTAACTCTATCTTGATACGTACAATTAGAACTTTACGCGCAATATTACACTCATATTAATTTTGTGTGTATTACAACACAATTCATATAATATAAATTTCTTATTAACCAGCATTATTATTCGATTCTTTCATAATTGCATAAATGTCTTTGTTTGATAACATTGTCACATTTTCATCTTTCGTTTTGCATGCCAAATCTTTCTTTTTCGCGTTAATTCAATTTGTTAAAACGTTTCCATAACTGTAATTTATTTGGATTTGAATACCAATTCCAAATTATATTTTGTTCTATCTATAACAAACTCTCATGTTATCAAATGAACCGAAACATAGTATTAATGACAATTACATACTGTACGTACATGCGACATCTGACGTTCTTACCAAATTAAGACCATTTTTTTCCTAATACCACGAATCAGAGTTGTACAAACTTTGATTGGTCGATACATATCTTGTATGTTGATTATGTAAGATATAACTGAAAAGAGTTATCAAAAAAGTGTCATCGGCCGTATATTTCCTAAACGAACTTTGTGACTGAGTCGGGCAACTGGTTTCTAAATAAATCCAAACTACTATTACTATTATTAGTCAATATTGACCGTCATAATGTCGTACAATGCTTTGCGCCTACAAATTATTTAGATTTATAGTCACAAGACTGCACAAGTACTAACCAAAATTAGTCATATCTATCGCTATTATTAGAATTTTTTTTAAAAAACGTTTATTTATTTATTTTTGGTAAATATTTTTAACAATGGAATAAATTTGTTAACAAGATTATTGATTATGTGCGACACATTATACACATTACATCACGAGGATACTAGATTTGAAATTTGTTCTCTTCAAGTTCTTTTTTTATAAATCTCGTGACCGACGCATGATGAAGTATACGCATCGTATTATATTACCTGTATGGTCTTCGGGTGCAAAGTTGAAATCATTGATTTCCATTTTTAACAAAAACAAAAAATATTAAGGGGTCTCTGAAATTTCGCGGAGAATTGAATTCCTGTTGAATGTATTAATTTCTTTAAAGATATGCGCGATAAACTTACTGATTACCCACTTTTGTGAAGAAGTGTAATTTCATGCGTCATTAATGTTCAAATTTATTAATCACGCGAGGCGTCACATTAGCGCCAGGTGCACTATTATTAATCTATCGTACGAACACGAATACAAACATTATGTTTTAACATTTTCATAGTTGCAACCTGCAAATTTATTTTTTTAAAAGACTTTGTCAGGACAGCACCCTAGGATTCGAATGTGCCACTGTCGCAGCATGAACTATTTCAAGTTAAAGATACGACTCACGTGACAGATTAGATCAAAATGACTCCTCAGGATTATTATTTATAATCCAGAAATAATATTAGATGTCGCGGAAGTGGACACCCGAACTCTGAGCTCCACTCTGACAAAATCAATTAAATAATTGTGCATTCATGATACTGTCATGAGATCAATGCCTTCAACATAAAGAAAATATTTTCAAAATAAGTGCTTCATTCGTGTTTTCTATATGCTATGCTTTACGCGAGTACCATTATTTTAAGTATATGATTAAATCGGTTTTATCATTGTCTTAACTATTCCATTTGTCTAATTGTTGTTTATTTGGTGTTGTTTTCTTATAATGATTATATATATTTAGAAATAGTAACAATAAAAACTTTAAAATTCATGTAATGACTGGTATTACTACTCCGATAATGCAAAAAAAACCCAACATATCTAGATAATAATACAGAAAACAAACATTATAAATCATCTTTGTTGATATTTAAAAACAAACCCCTTCTCATTAATTGTCCGAAGAAACAGTAAATTCACATGTCTGCTCATCACGTGACGTAACAGACTTTTATGCATCGATAGGTACGTACGTACACACTTTGTAAATTCTCAAAGTATTTACACTATGTACCAATTTCTCTAAATGCAAAGTTTTGCACTTTTTATTATATGATTCCATTGAGATATACTTGAAGAGTTTACATCCATCCATGTTTCTGACGCACCCATCACAAATCAAACCTCCCATAAAATCAATTTTGACTCTCCGAGGTAATTTTATTAAGATTAATGATAGTAAAATCACGGTCAGGCAGTGTTAGATATCTAATGCTCTGTGTTCTCAAGAACATTAAAATATTTTTGAGAACACCTTATTTAAAATTTATCTTCTCATTTGAGAACATAAAATTTGTAAATTGTATTATAAAAATAATCTTATAAAACTTTTAAAACATTAAAAATCTTTCCGAGAACCTAAAATTTAAATTTATGTTCTCAGAGAACAAAAAAAATTTCAGATATCTAACACTACTGTCAGGTATCTAAATATTTGATTTATCAGGATAGTACGTTGAATTCTAATAGCCAGCTTTGAATTTTCAATTTCATAATGATAGAGAATCTTTTGATAAAGTTTATTATTCTATTTTACCATCATTCATTTTAATTAATAGTCTTGACACAAGTTTATACAAGATACCGATATTTCTTATCATTTAATATCACAAATTTGATATATGCTTTAAGACAGGTCTGTAAACATAGTATATGCATATGAGTAGAGATGGGCTGCGCATGGAATATTTCGGAAGTTCACAACTCTGGTTCGCATTAGCAGCGAACTACCATAATGTGGGCCAGTACAGGCTGCGCAGTAGATTCAAAAAATCATCAACTTGCCCATCTCTACAAGTGAGCAAATTCATTTATACCACTTTTCAAACTATTATATTTGGATGATAGAGATGCTTGTGACTAATTTTACCAATAGCAGTGAAACTAATTCATCACTCTAGTTTAATTTCATCAGTATTTTTACTTGATAGTAGGTTCTGTTTAAATATATATTGTATTGCTAGTAAATTCAGTAAATAATACCGAAAGCTGTGTATATGTTGTACCCAAATGTTAATTCGTTCTACTTGCCAATATACTTGTTGTCAAAACTATAAATCTTAAAAATTTTGCTCAAACCCAAATTCTATATAAACAAATTAATTGAAAAAATCTTATATTGATTGTTATAATTTTAAACTTTGGTCAAATTCTATTCTATTCGAAATCCTATTTCAAATCCTATTCTAAATTTCAAATTCCATTCCAAATCCCAAATCCAAATTCTATTCCAAATCTTATTTCAAAATTTAAATTTTAGCACATCTCAAATTTCAAATCTCATCTTATTTTAACTCTGATTTTAAAATTCTATTTAATCCTAATTGTTAATAAGTGTTTTTGTTAGTTTAAATCTTATTAATATTATAAACAGCGGATTTAAAATTTTTTAATTTTTATATATTATAGTTTCAATTTTATAATAAATCAAAAAAATTAGTTACCTCTCAATGCTTTATAAATATAGGTTAACAAATTGATAACTTTACAATTATTTACTTATTTTATGTACAAGTTAAACTTTGGTTATATTTCTTCAAAGTTGAAATT